ATTTAAATCGGACGCTTAGTTTTCTCAAAAATTGTTATTTTTTGCACATTTAGCTGTGTATCTTCAAAATGGCTGGGGCCTGCCTTTTAACTAATAATCTAATCATTACTAATTGAATGTTTTTTAGATCATTCAAATCGGATGCTCCGTTCTCTTAAAAACACGATTTCTATTTTCTGCACTCTTTGCTCTTTTTTTCCGTAAAAAACTAATCAGCACATCTCCCTATCAATAGGAATCGAATGTTTTTTGAACCATTCAAATCGGTTGAACCGTGCGCCCAAAAACGTGAACAAAAAATGCGGATACACAAAACACACACACACACATCCAATTTTTCTGCGATATGCCAAACGTTCAGAAACTTTCAGAACGTCGAGAAATGCAACAATGCAATGGACGATTACAATAACTTACCCTACGGGATGTTAAACAGAATGTAATCAATTATTATGAATATATAAAATATAGCATCAAAACTAAATTCATATGGGGTTTGTTTTTACTATAATTCCGCGATTTCATTTAAGTATACATATATATAATACGGTTGATCGAATTGGAACAATGAACCATTTAGTATTTTTAATTCCACGTGACGCCAGACAGTGTATTTAAATTTAATAATAAAAAACAAAAACTTGCTGCATTGTCCACGAAATGCCATTTTAGTTGAGATCAACCTGAAGTGAACATCTATAGATGTATTATATAGTATATTATAATATCATACTGCCTAATATATATATATATATATATATATATATATATATATATATATATATATTTGTGTGTTTTTTAATCATATATTCATATTTAATATAATCTGCACATAAAAAAGATAGTGGTTAACATCCGGACTAACTCTGAAATGATATGGAGGTAATAAACCAAACCAAATATAATAAAATTCATTTATTTAAATTAAATATTCAAATTATATGTATTAAAAGAAACTATGGGTTGTTCTTTGCTGTTTTTTCACTAATCTAATCTTTGAAACGTTAATGTTTACAAAGACTATTGATATCAATCAGTGAAATTCACAGAATATGTTATATAAAAATAATTGTAATTAAGTATCGGTAAATTTCTTTGTATTATAAACTCCTTTGTTGATACCGCTATCTGTTAAAGATTTGAGATTTATATCGTAACAACTTGATTTGTGTCGTAGATTTATCTACGTTGTTATTTATCTCTCAACTTTTGCGAACATTTCTGCCGCCTGATATCGGCAGTTTTTTAAAGCAAAGAGCATATTGAAATTTTCAATTGAAGGGAATATTATTTCTAATTTATTATTTATTTAATAAATAGTGTTTAGGACTTAAATAGATTGATATATTTAGCTTAAACAAAACCTGTCACATATACACATAGCCATACATACACACACATACTTTTTCCGAATTTGGTCTCATTCGATTCAGGATGACTTAACGTATTTTTATTCAAAATACGATTATTCTGTGCTTGTCTATACCTTAGAAATGATGTATGTGTATGTGTGTGTGCTTGGATACAAATTATCTTCGACGATTTCAGGAACACGGTTCAACCGATTTGAATAATTCCAAAACATTTGGTTCCTATTGAAAAGGAGATGTGTTGATTAGTTTTTGGCCATAGCAGGTTCCAGCCGTTTCAAAGATACGAGGCAAAAATGTTACCAAAAATGGTAACTCAGTTTTTTAGAGAACAAAGGAGAACGATTTCAATCATTCAAAAAACAGTTTAGTTGTGACAAAATAAACTGAAAATAACTGAATTTTTGGGAAGGCAACGGTCAAGCATGATCAGAGATCTAGTGAAATAGGTGATCAAAAAGAGCTCAAAATTTTCAAATAATGTCAAAATATGAACAAAATTAAATTTTCTAAAGAAATTTTTTTTTCAAAAATTCTCAAAGATCTAATTTATTAATGTATTCAAATCAAAAAAATATTTTTAGAATAAATTTTTTGAATATAAATAAAAATTTGTTTTTTTAGAAATTAATTTTTGGTATTGAATGTTTCAGCAATTTGCCTAAACGCACAATACCATGCACCACTAGTTACGTTTATAATAAACATT